CAAGGCCCGCGAGAGGGTGAGTGTGCCCCGCCTGACAGCCCCCCGGCCCGGCCCGGCCCGGCCGGCCCGCTCCCTCCCTCCCTCCGTGAGAGCAGCGGTGCGGGCACGGAGCGCTTCAGGAGCAGCGTGGTTTCCCCTCTTTGGTGGGCGTGTGGGCTCACGTTAACTGTGCTCAGCTGTTGGTTATGTCTACGTAACTGTTAATTTCTGTGCAAAAACTGTAAGAAACTAATTCGTAAGGGTCATCAGGTACCGGTAGAGCAAGTTGTTTGGGCGAGCGTACGCCTGTCAGAGGTGCGGGACGCAGCATTTTGGTTCGTGCCAGTGCGGCTTGTGGCCCTGGACTTGGCAAAAGCTAGTGGCAGTTACCTTCAGGCGCCATAATTAATTTCTTCTTTAGGCTGGGACAATGAGCAGAAGCGGGGTTTGATATAAAATCATCCAGTGTATACTGCTGCCACCTCCCCGCCACCTTCCATGTGAGATCTGAGGAAGAGATCCAGTTTGACTCCTTTTGGTAATTATCGGTGGCTTCTTGGCAGCCATAGATACAGGGAGACACAGCTTTGTGTCTCAAAGTGAGCAGATGGAGGTATTATGAGAAATTCTGCGTGCTTGACTGGAGCATTGTAGTTAACTTTAACTTTACCATCTTTATGTCAAAATGCAACTGGATTTCTGTGTTTCCTGGCCTTCAGAGAGGAAATTCAGTAGAACTCAACTGCCATGGAAGGACAAGTGATACCTCAGGGCAACCTCCTTACTGGATTAACAAGTACTATTTTGAGATATATATATATATATACACATATATATTTTTTTTTTCTGCAAAGCCTTTGACATGGTCCCTCACAACATCTTTCTCTCTAAATTGGAGAGCTATGGATTTGATGGGTGAACTGTTCGGTGGATAAGGAATTAGTTGGATGGTCATATCCAGAGGGTAGTGGTCAACAGCTCAATGTCCGGATGGAGACCGGTGACGAGTGATGTCCCTCAGGGGTCTGTACTGGGATCAGTGGTGTTTAATGTTTTCATCAGTGACGTGGTGAGATCGAGTGCACCCTCAGCAAGTTTGCAGATGACACC